ATACCACGACCGATCTCTTTCGTCTGCCATTCGCAGACGAGAGAGGTATCACGGGTATCGCGCTGCTGTCACCTTCGAGATTCCGAGGCCCGTGCGGGAATTGGTCTTGATCACTCTCGTATCGTGTCATCCGTGGAGGATCCTGCAAACGAAGAACCCTGAGTGTCGACGATATGCCAGTGGAAAATGTATAAGCGTATGAAAAATCTCCTAGACAGAAAACAAACTCGTCCACACGTTTGTTGATTTATTTCCTTTCCGTTCTTTTCTGTTACAAATATATCGAAATGTGAATACACAATACACTTATCCGAATCTCGTTCGCATAGGAAAATCAATACTGATCCTCTATTATCCAAACTACGGTCGAATATAATCTCTCGTAATACGTACAGACACTTATTCCTATAGCGAATATAAATATCAATATACGAAAACATCTGTTTTTATCTAAAATACATTGTACGTGCCAGCAAAGGAACAATTTAGTTCCTAGCACTTAAATTTCAACACTGAAATTAATAAGAGGAGCCGAAAAAGAGAGTTCACTATCTAGGAAATCTATACGTATTAACCTTGTCTCATAATCTACTCGGATAAACGTGGTTCTACCGAAGGTTTCCGAAGATAGCATCTTAGAATCTCATTTATCTAGGAAATATGTAAATAAGAACGAAATATACTTACTACGAATGGTCTTGAAAGATCAGCGTCATCCAAATGAATTTCCTCGTTTGGTGTCTCGACTACCGGTGCCGGTAGCCGGTTGCTTGTCTGCGCCTGTGCTTTCGGAACTGATTTCTCGACCCCCAAGAAATGACCTCCTATCGAGGTCATCTCATCACCATCTTGAATAATGTCGTCGTAAAGGGAGCCATCACCTTGCTCGGTTCCACCACCTACGTTTTCGTTACTCTTGTCGGCACTGTTGTCCTCGTCGTTGTGAACGGTGGGCGGTACCGTGGTTTGCGGGTATTGCGGTCGTATCTGATCCTTGCGCTCTTGAATGTAGTGGCCAACGGATCCACTGAGCTGACAGTGATCCAAACAGCCGTGACGACAGATCTCAACCTTGACATTGATCGAAACAACTTATTGCTTTGACGTTCCTCTTAGTCATCGTTTCATTTTTTTCCTGTCTTTCTAAGTACAAATTTGCATAATGAGTAGCCAAATGATTTAACGTTCATTGCCGTTTACAGAGTAAATTCATTAAGCCGTTCGTAAGCTGTTTAATTGTAAATATTTGCTCTTTACTTTGACGAACACCTCTCCAAGTTAACAGAAGGTGCGCCAAAGCACCTTGGTCGCGCGTAATAATATTTTCAGTTGTCGGTAATCCTGTTTTCGATCGTAAGCTGTGTTATCCGCTGTATATTACCCAACATCGTTTACCTTGCACTTGATGTGCACGCTCAACGCGTCCGGGAACTTGAACGCGTGGAAGAAGGCGTAAGTGATGACCGTCGCCCGATCGTCGGAACCCCGTGCTTTCAAGAATCGGCTGATCATCTTCGGCCTCAGCACGCATCCGAACTCGTCGCTCAGCTGTATCGTGTGTCCACCGCCGTCCGAGGCCACGCACGACTTGACGCGCATGTCGAATTCTCCTGTGTCGAATTAATTACCGTAAATGACATTAACGAATACATAGCCGTTTCCAAGTATTATGTACCCGAGGATTATGTAGCTTTCGAAAGCTATTAGAAGCTTCCGAGCGTGAGCCGTGTTCAACAGGAAGAGATTACCGACGTTTCGTCGGTATTACACTTAGCTTCGTCAGCATGTACTGCTACTCGGTATCCTTCGAATTCTAATGTATAGACCGTGAATTTTTATTTGTAGAAGCTTTAAAAGCGCAAAAGTACACAAAATCCGTATAACACGAAAAGATATATAAAATATTCAAGGTATAATACTTTTTATAATACTTGGTACGTAAAACAATTTTCTGCCGAAGTTGTACTTTTTTCATTATATTTTCAAAAATATGAATTTGCATAAAAATCCGCAGTTTACCGATGAAGCTAGCTGCAATGTTGGCGGAACGTCGACAATTTCTTCCTGTTGGAAGCGGCTCACGCCTGCAAGCCTCCAACAATGTCGAACGCAATAATCCAGCTTGCGGAAGCATCAATGCTCTTATAGGTTTCGAAAAGTTTCATAAAGTTGGATGGTTCGTTGCCACGTTACCTCGATAATCGTTTATAGCGACGACTAGGGTGAGAGTAGAGCCGAGCGGTACTATTCCGGAAACCGGAGGTGCCCATGGTCCCTTGCCATGTTGAATTTCCATCCAACAATCCACGTTGTCGCCTGCAATACCGATAGAATGGTACACTTACATTTGCGTTTTAGTTTGCAGGCAGTCTGTTGTCCGTTCTCTAGGCACAACGTGTCAGGTGCGATTTATACGTGTTGCATAAAATGAAGTTAAGTGGCGGGGCTGCGGTCCTACCTGTGGTTAACCGCTGCTACACGAGTTACCGTGCGCGATGCGACCATTTGTACCTCGTATAAAACACTTTGCACAGAAGGATCATCGTTTTACCCATTAACTATATATCCGTAGTCTTTCGTATAGCAAACCTTGATCAAGGCAAATCGCTTGTATTTATCGATCGAGGTACAAACGTATTAAAATTTAAGATATTGATCGTGTCAAGGGCTACTGTGACGAGACTTACTACATCGATGTTAGACGAGAGTTAAGAGATGCGAAGATCACTAAGCGACGTTGATGTGGAAATATGTTGTTTGCATGTGTGTAGAATAGCAAATTATACCTCTGAAGTCTAACTGTATTACGTCGAGATCTGCTATAACCATTGGCGGTTTCGAAGCAGTCTTTTCGTAATCGTTGAACCATTCGCATCGCAGTCGTTTGGCCTCGTCCCAGACTTCGAGCAAATCTTTGTCATACTGAACGACCACAGTGTTCTCATAGAACTGTCCATGCATATCCGGCTTGGTACCGCATCTGCGACCAGACGAACAAAATCTAGACTGAATATCAATTTACGAATTTATTAATCGCTGAAACGTTGCAGATAAACTATTTTACTGTTACTATTTTTCATTGCTAAAACGTAAGAGATAATATTTAACGTCTCTGTTCTTCGTGTCTTTACGCTAAACATCGTTCGTCGATAATTTTTAGAAGCCACTGAAATACGCGCGAAACCCCATTAGAATCGATTAATAGCCTGTCGAATAACTTTGCGTTAAACCCAATCGCTTATCCAATTATCCTTTATCGTAGTTTGCGAGCCGGTTGGCGCCAGACGCCTCATAAGTTCCAGTTAAAGTCGTAAGTTAACAATCCTCTATGGAGATCGCAGTAAACCGAGACGGTATAATCGATCTCGAGCATCGAGCAACGTTTCCACACGCCTTAAATCATCTAATCGTGTCGAGTTTACGTATATCTTTTCACAGGTAGATACGGTTCGATAGACGAATGCTCGATGTTCTCGCGATCTTACCTCGCGTAGGCTATCCGAAAGGAGAAGAAAGTCTGGCCAGTGGACGGTGGAACGTAGACGCATCGCGGATCGGCGTGTTGGCCTTTGGACGAGACGATGCCCTCGAAGGGTTGTGAGAACGAGAGATGTACATCCATGTGATCCTTTCCACACATCACTTCGAGAGATTGTATGGCTGGCATTCCCTCTGGCCTTTCTAGCGGCCAAATGTCGCTATTGCTACCAACGCTCTTCAAGCCAACCACCTGTGCATTCAAGGAATACGTTTTTATACTTTGAACACCATGACCTGTCTTCCTTTCTCACTACACTACGCGTGACTGTCGCGAATACCTTCTACAGATGTTCGACCGAACATGTTTGAACGTATACGTTTTACATTAATAACCACCGCATCAAAATTTATCGCGAATGAAGCCGTCCTTTACGGTTTATGTCTGTATCTGATGGAAGTAGATACTACTTCAATATCAGTAACCTGTCATACACAAATTTATGAAAGGTAGTTACGAATCTACCCATTATGTAGTTTCCAGCTGCTTTTTGGTAGACATTTAATTACGTAAGAAATATTAATCATCCATCAAGCCGTACCTTGAGTTGCATTTTCACTCTTAAATTAGTTCAGTGGTATCTTATCTTATCTTATACGGTATGAGATGTGTTAATAGTTGATGATCTTAGAACCTGTTGATTCAGTAGGAGATTCGATAAATTACAGGGGGAAAAAAAAGATATTTCGCAGATTATGTAGTTAATTGCATTTAAAATTCTATGAAGTGCGCACATAAATTAAACTTACTAAGCACCTTGTAAAAACGTTAATACGGGGTTACGTTTATTATCGTGATTACGTGTAGTATTCTAATACGTTTATATTCGCATTTTTTCTTCTTAAATTGGATACAATAAATATCGAATTACTTAAATGATCGTACAATTACAACTTAACGATCTCTTGTAACGATCGTTACGTTCCAAGTGCTAATATCGTTTTCTATGAAATGTCGATACTCTTATGAAACTTAACGATCGCTGTACGATCCGTAAGTTACGAAGTTACCTAAGCGATAATGGCCAACATACACCTTAACAATACTATAGGCTAGCGTTAAAGAAATTTTTTCGAATAATAGAACGCTAAGAGTTGCGGTATAACTACCCAGATGCATAACCGTTATGAAATTTTTACAATGTTAGTTATGCTCTGATAACTAATGGAGCAAGATCGTAAATGTTAGTTCAGAACGAGACAAAGTCAAATGACAAATTTATATCGTTCATTGTCATATACGTATTAATTCTTATTCGACCAATTTGTCAATAAAAATTACCAATTTCGTTTAACTATGTTTAACACGCTGCAATAAATTAATTTATTTGATATTCGATTATTTTACATTGTGCCAAATTGAAGCAGACATAATATATATTATAGATACAAGTACTCGTATGATTGTTAAATATCGACACACTGTATTTTATTACGTGTTGTCTCAACGCGTAAAGTTTGTTCTTATAGAGTTTTTACGATATTTTCAAGCAGCACGCAACCTGTCACGTCACCTGGCTAGAGCCTAATAAAACTTTCAATAGCTATGTTCGAAGATTCAGATTTCACGATGTGCCATTACACCTCTAATAATATTGTTAAGTATACGAATGTCTGCGTCACTCTTAATTTATGAGAAACATTCGAGACATCTTAAGTTGCGGGCAACAGATATTTATCAATGACCTATTCTTTATTGCACGTACCTACGCTTGAAACCTACCTATGCACGTTTCTATACACGAAAGTATCCTCTTGTGAGTCGCGAAGTTACGATTACTTATACACCTACTGTAAACCGTACTTATCATGTAGATCAGTCAAGGATGAACAATGCGAGTATAAGCTGCGTAAGCTGTAGTTTATGATCCATTGAAACGATCGATCGAAATGATTTGCAATCTTTAAAATCTCAGTTACCAATGAGCAAGGAACAAACAGAATGTAAATCTCGCTACAGATATTCCAATGATACACGTTATCCTCGTACATATCCTATACAAAATACATGTGGCAATTTCAAAATATCCGCTATACCATAGAATCTGTGTCCATTACAATTATAGATATATCATCGTTGGAAGACTTTCGCGAGCTTGTACAGCATCGTCGAACATAAGTACCTTTTCGCGGCTACAATTCCCGAACAAATCCCTCGATAACGAGACTTATTCGACCGTATCTGTAATTTCGCATTTCACGTATCTTTATTTCCAATCGGCAGCGATGATTATACCATTACGTTTACCGTAAATTATTATTGCGCGTCTATCCTCGGTATTCTCCTACGACCGTAAATGCCACGCAATGAATGAACGGATAAGCAAATAAACGTTCCGTGCATAGAACGTATCATTCGGCGGACATATTTCGCGATACTTAGAGGAATATTAAGCCCGGCAAAACACTGTAATGTTTCGCCTTACGGTGATCCGCCGTTTTTCACATACAGCGCAAACGTTGCGATTCACGGCGGCGTAATATCCTAGAATCTTGGCATGAAAATCGCAAGCGTGCACAGGTCGTGGGAGATTAGGCGTGTTACGTTCTGAGGATTTCTCTAGAAATCACCAGCCGCTGGCCAGCCCGCATTCTTCGCGTACAGCTTTGGGCGTATTACTTCGAACGCATAGTCGCCGCCGCGGCGATCGCGTCGCTTGGCTGCAGAGAATCGCAGAAAATCTCAGCGACACGTACGCGTAAGTGAAGATCTTTGAAGGAAGGTGTTCCCGGCGTATATACCGTGCTCGCGCAATGCTGTAACGGGAGAAGCGTCTTTACCGCTGCATTAACGGTCGCCGTTTTTCGCGCAAGTGAAAACAAGTTTCTGTGCTCTTACAATCGCACTGTTAAATGACAACGTTTCATTAGAAATGATTACGCACCTGGTATACACGGACCACGCGCTTGTGTGCACTGCGTGCTCTCGCGAACAACCGAGCGAGCCTCGGTTTTTCTTTCTCCGTCATTTTGCTTCACCTTGGTTCACGGTCGATGATCGAGAATCGATCGTCCGATACAGAGCGCTTTGCGATATCCTTCGCGAACGTTGTAGAAAAATGTTGATTATGTGCGAATAATAACGGCTGACAGGAGGGGGGCGGGAGGGTTCAATGATCCGGATAGAACGGATGTTGAGGTAGCTAGACTCTTTAATGTACTTCTTCTTGGTAGATTGCGAGAGTAGATAAGAGGAAATTGGGATGGAATTTTAAACTAGCGCATCGATACGAGACAGATCCGAGTTGCGAGTGAGAGCATATTGTCTGTTTCCTGGAAGAGCGATACAAGAAGGAAATTAATTCGAAGTAGAAAATTCTTAATTTCATTCGTCTCGCATCTCCTTTCTTTAAAGATTTAGGTAGCAGTCTTCGGGATCTGAAGATCTCTAATAAAATCTTGATTATGTATATTATTTCCTGTTGAGAAATCGTTAAAGCTACTGTGCGGTATCCTTTTTGTTAAATAGTAAAATTGTACTTGATAATAGTGACACGTCCATTCTGCTAAGTAACTCGTTTGTAAACTGTTATAAATTTCTGGAGATGTTACAAGATCGATTTGATCGTTGAGTTAGAAAATCGATAACGTAAGTAGGAAAGTCTTTTAAAAATTCGATATCCCGTACGTATCGAAAAGATAAAATCAATGCAGGAGAAATGTTCCGCAACATCCACGCTCTTTACTCGGTCATTTATCGAGAGAAGACAATACGTTCGTGCTCTTGAACGTGAAACGAATGGTAAACGATATTTATATTATGCGCTACAGGCGGAAACAATTCGCGGGATATAGGCTTTCAGTTCGTTATAACCGCGAACGTATCAGTATTCCGAGTTACTCGAACGTGAGGCACGCCGGTAGGTGAGTTTCCCATCGCGGCTCTTCTGGCGTTCGAATACTAATGCCCGTCTCCGTGTACTCGATTGTATTCCTCGTGACACGCGGAAATAGCTTCCTCTGTATTCGTTTATGTGCTACTCTCTACTTGGAACGAGTAACTATTTCTTCGCGTCACGTTCTTTTGAATAGGCGCCGATAAAGATTTCGGCGATGGATTGTATTTGAAGTTCCTTCTTTAAAAACTCGTGGTCTGTCACGCCGGGGACAAAAGCAAACGATGAATAGTCACGCAGGTTTTTGCGGTACTTCTTCTAAAAGCAGTTAATCACCGATGGTTAGTATATTTGTATATGCGAAGACTCGTACAAGAGTTAACAGGAAATGAGATATGGAACCCCAATTCTATTTCGTTCGGTATTAGATTGATGATATAATTTGTCTCGAGATTAAGATATTATATGTTTGAACAAAAAAAGTCATATTAGTAAATAATCTTCAACGTGAATTATTAATTATATGTAAAGGAAGATGTCTGTACTTTTTGTTATTTCGGTGCTTTAAAAAAACATTGAATTTACTAACTCTCTCGATTGTTTATGCAGTCTCAAATATTTTGCTACAATCCACAGAGTTTACTTCTCAGAGCCACTGAATACAAAAATCTCAATTTCTTCAGAATATCTGATTATTCAAAGACCTTTAACTCAAGTTTCGTTCATTCTTCGTTCCGCAAAGTACATGTTTCTCGAATTGTTCATAATTTATAATTCTTGTAAAATTTTCATTTATAACCGCGGTTATGATAAAGCCGAATTATTGAACGAAATTATTCCGGTAGAGCTTGGCGAGGTAAAACAGGAAGAAGTGGATGGAAATCGCCGATAACTATGTATTATGTTTCCTGGAATGAATATAGAAATCCGGTAGAACGAACAACGTGGATACGGAAGGGTATAAATTTTAAAGCAGTAAGCACACGAGAGGACGACGCATTTCCTGCGCGAAACCGCAATAAGAGATTTCACTCTGTAGACGCAATAACATCGTGGGGGCAATAGGTTGTGCAGGGGTCCTGAATAACTTTCAGAGGAAGCAGGTGCAAGGGGAAAAGGAGGAAAAGAAGGTCGTAAGATACGGGTAACGGTACCTAGAGTAGGCACGAATATCCGCTTGCAAGCTGTCGCGTCTCTTGCTGCGTCATCGCATTGTCATCCAACTGTGACGAATTTTTCATTAGGCATCATTTCGTAACGATCATCACGGATATAAAGTGAACAGTTTTATCCGTGATGCTCCTTCATTCTTCTCTTGATTTCTAATTTTTGAACGGTACCTTTTACTACCTACTATCTTTAGGGCCTGACTACCGAGAGCCCGTTAGTCTTTAATTAAGGAAGGGATCTATGAGTAACGCGGCGTCAGCAAACGCAGTTCACTGAAATTATAGCCCATTATCAGAATTGGTAGCCGTAGTTCAGTATGTTCTAGAGTTTAATTGGCTTACGAAAGAAATGGCTAGCAGATAAGAGACAACGTGCGAAGAATCGTGTGAATCGTTGGGCGGTGTAATGGGTGTAGGATTATGTACAGGTATTTCAACTATCCGCGTGAGCCACTGTAACTTGATAGTATCCGTAACTCGTTTTTCACGTTCACAGTCTAATAACTTACTCTCCTTGTCTAATGGTTGCATGCAAATTCGCGTATGTGTGTAAACTTTCGGTCAATAGAATATAGTCAGATCAGATATTACGCATGTTGCAGCTTTCTTACAATGTGCCGTAAGTGTCTATTTAATCTACGAGTCTCATCGCATTTTATTATATATATATATATATAATTTATAATGACAGTTTAGTATTAATGCCAGAGGTATTTATGCTTTCTAGATATTTAAATAGATCAAGCTTAAATTCGTTTAGAAAATGTTATCATTTTACGCTTTATTCCTTATGATCTGTTTTATTATCGTAACTTTCTGGCTCGAGTGTCGAGACGTGAAACGTATTTGCAGTGTAATTTTCTCTTGACGCTTAAACTTTGATCGTAAATATGCACATTAGATGCTAATCCCCGTTTTGTCTTCATTATTCACTCAGGCAAGCTTAATAATAATCGTTCGTACATTATGCGAGAAAGTAGCATACTTTCAGTCGGACGTTACAGCGTTGCGTGATTATTAATTATTTGAACCATTGGATAGCCTTTGAACCGGAAGTTCGACTATCTCGACCCGATCTGTACATGTCCATTTATCAATAGCTTACAAATAACCCATGAACGTGTTGGTTCTATATGGGTTACCGTTAGGTCGTATCGAACAATACTTCCCATATGGGCTTATTCGCGCTATTATTCTCTCGCTTAAGCTATGCTAAATCTATTTATTATTGTACCGCGGATTATTATATTTTTATCAATATAAATAAAGAAATGGAACTTGGATAGGAATTTGTTTTATCCACTAAGTATTATAATGAATACTTTAGATTGAATATTTTATATATTTTTGCATATTACATACTTAACGCCGTCACGTTTCCCACGAAGAGATAAAAATCCGCACTCTAGTTACTAACTGTGTATACCTACATGTATTTGCTCAAGCTATAATGAATCTTTACCTCAAGCTATTGTAAATCTACTTGTATGTACAGGGATTAGCAATATTTCTCACCATATAGATCAGCATACGTAGCAACCTCCACACCCCTGGCATCCTGGAGGTCCCAGCCTCTCACGATGAGATACGCTTTTCTGAAAAGACGAACGTTTTGTCGTTAGAGCATGCCTTAATTTATTGTAATCGTATGCAAGCGAGCTGACTCTAAAAGGAATTTGCAGCCGGATCTATTTTAATTTATCCGACCACCATGGTCTAGCGAGCAAATTAACTGAACACCGTCCGTCAGGTCGCGGTTCGAATCCCAAGGAGGTCTCGGCGTAAAATTGATTTGCCGAGAGAAATCATGGTTATGGGGTTTCGAGCGTACGCGTGCTCAATCCGTTCGGTAGAATTAGGATCCGCGACGTTTACGATCAGTTTCAGATAAATAAGATTGATCGATCTGGTTATATTGTCTTTCGATAGCCATTTCAATCTGATTTTTTTACCATAATTGGTAGTAAAATGTCCGTCTAACGAATTTTAACACGAGTTGTATTTTTCTGTTTCATTTTCGACGCTTTTCTTACGTATTTCACGTATCGCGTATTTTACACACCAGAGCGACGTTATCGTTCACAAATCTATTGCCACGTTCAATGTAGACATTAAAAGAAGCATAGAAGTCAAAGTATGAACGAGACAAATGACTTTAGCGTAACGAGTTTCGTATATTTTCGTGCTAACACAAAATGCACTAGCACTTCTATTCTTCATCGATGTTATCCCACACGATAATTGTCGTTCAACTGATATATCGGTTTATCGCGCGAGATCCATTGCGAGGATAATACAAGGTTGGACGTTGTCTCTTTCTCGAATGAAAAAAGCGACGCTTAAAAGCATGGAGGAAGTTACAACTGGTAGTTTGTTTTGTAGTTCGTGCCTGACCTATTTAGAAACGACGCTTTGTTGGCTCGAATGTAGCTGAAACGAAGTCGCTAATGAATCGATAAGCGATACGTTACCGGTTCGGCCAGTTCCTCGTTCCTTTGATCGCGTCTCTAATACCGTGCCTTTGCGTACAGCAAATCCTACCTACGATCAATCAGAGTAGTCAGTATTTTGCTCCGTAATATATTTCGCTCCACGATCCGTATCACGTTCGGGTGAAGCTAAACGAACGAGAGGAAATGATAATTACAGGGAAGACCGATCATCTGCTTCGTTTTATTTGCTATGTCATTCGGATGGCTAGCAATAAACAAGTAAAAGAAGCGTATAATTCAACCTTCGGTATCTGGTGCCGATTCGTGTTAGACGAGCGAATTGATCGATTTGAGATTTCAATTTCATGCGTGGGAAAATGAAACGCGCAGGTTAAAGCGATATGGGTATCCCGGATTAAAAGGAAAATAAAACGTTCGCGAGATAAAAATAAAATTAACGATCGCGTATCCAGACTGAAACCTGTTCTCCGCAACCATTCATAAAACTCGACGACTGTGGTCCATTTTCGCGGTAAGCCATTTATGAGTAGCTTAAGCCGATGGATTTTCAACGTTACAATCGGCGGTACACATCAATCATTGACTGTATAATGGACCAAACGTCGATGATTCAGCGATTAGCTTTACGATTGTCACGAGAGTCGATAATAAATTTTTAGCGGTCGTTGCGTCACGATTTTGCTCGAAGCAAATCTCAACGGCAAATCGAGTCGAAGCTGATCAGCGGCTTGCCGAGTCTACTGTTTTTTGCCAAATTAAATGCATCGCTTCACCGAGATTTCAATTGACAGCGACCGCCTTACAACCTCGTTCTCTTAATAACCAAATGATCGCGGCGTTACGGCCGTTCCAAGCGTTTTATTTTGTTTTCCTTGCAGCCTCAGCTTTCAACGGTCTTTGACCGTTTTCTATTCCTCGACTATCCAATAACGAGCGGTTCGACGCTTTTTTATAGTCTTAAATGTTGTCTCATCGAAGTAGATTAGTAACTGGTAATTTTCAAAGAACTTAATCCTCACAAGGGTACTGTTTTTATCGAACTCTACGAGTCGACCTAACTTTACCTTCTGGAAATACGATCCGAACAGACTGTCTATGGATTCGACTTTCTCGATCCTTTACGCTCCTTTTTTCTTATTACATTTCGATACAATTCATTAGTTACATACACGATACACAAGGTTTCTGTTTTATTTTTTCGCTTCCGACGTTACGTAGATCTAATTTCAATACTCATTTGTTAAACGTTTGCGAAGGGGACAAAAATAAATGGACACTTAATGGAGGTAGGTATTAATGAAGTTTCGTCGAATATGGCTTATTTATACAAAAATGTAAGTATTAATTTCGAGTTTTCTACGAGGACATGTAATAAATAAAACTGAAGTATATAAACTAGTATCGGTTCGATCAAAATTCATTGATACTTCCACTACTTGTCCACTTATTATTCTCGCCGACTGTATTTACATAATCATCGATGTACACGTCGCGACGTCACGTTGCCAATTGTTAGGCCTGCATCGTAATACACGGAACAAAAGGAAGAAACCAGCTGGCGTATATCGGCGAACAGCTGAGTACGACGCTGCTATGCGGACGACGTTAATTAAAATTGAGTTTACTACTGTGTTGTACGCGTAAGTGGCACGTCACAGATTACGAATAATATAGTTGAACGTCAGCAGCGTTCGTGAGTCGACGTGTGTGGTAGGCAGCGTGTCGACTGGATACTAAGAATGCCGTATCGCTAAGCATGTTTTAATTAACGCAGTGGCAACGCTTACAAACAGAAATGGATCTCATTGCGATCGATTCGAATCTGCATCGGCGCATACCGAACAATTGCCACTGCTAATGCGTTAACAGAGTCACAGTTAATGATTCGTGGCTATTATCGAATAGCTATCGTTTCGTGTTTATTCTCCCGGAACGATCGGCGAAAGCAAACTCGATGAGCGCAAGAATGCCGTAAAATCATGCGAATAGCATTCGAATTAAAGTACAGATACAAAATTCGTTATGCTCCGTTTTGTCGAATTCCTTTTTAACGTATCGTTTCGTTATTCTTTGGCCTCGAGAAACTTACTACGTACAATACGTATTTTTGTAGTTCGTGAGAAACGGTACGCCTTTACCGATTAACGTCTATATGAAATAATAATCCGAAATGCTTTACCATGCAGGAGAATGGAGATATGAATGAGATTGTAAACACAATTCGAAGAAAATGTTCTTTACCTCATAAATTTTAATGCGGTTGTTTCTGCGAACAGGAAATGTTAATTGACTAATTATAACGAAGACATAAAAGCAGCCTGACCTATATACATACGTATCTTCTTTACCTTAGATTTTTAGCGTTAGTCGGCCGAGAATCGGCCACGGAACTGATTGACATGTACCAATATCCTTTAATTGGCACGCCTATAAACTATGCAATGCACATAAAAGATTACCACGCGACTATCTTCGCCATCACGACGGTCGTTTCTATCGTTGATGTCGTAATCATTATCGTCAGCACGGTTATTTATATTGTAACTGCTATTCTTGTGTTTGTCGCGTGTTATAGTTCGCAACAAGGTTCTCTCGTGCTTCTGGATGCATGGAAAATCAAGCATACCAACAATTATTTGCCGTTTAAACCGATCGAGATACCGATCGTCTTCTGATTGTTCCCGGATACGCAGGGTCATCTCGCTGAAATTCCCATAGCATGCAGGAATTATTGCTCGCGAACCTGTGAAAGATTACATATACCGAACGAAGAATGCACGAAACGTATCTTCCGAGTACACGTCTATTTATGTGCACGAAGTTTTTAACGAGGATCGTTTGAAAGGTAGGCGAGCTAGACATTCTTGCAATGTCTCAAAGTTGGAATGCTTCGAACGATCGGTTACGTTACGGGCTTGTTCGTATCGCCGCGGCGCCGTAACGGTGTCCCCAACTTACTACTTCTGCGATTCGCCAGATAGATCCCACGTTAATAATTCCCCGTGGCATCCTTTCATGAGATCCCGAGTACGTCCTTTCCCAGGCGATTCTCTGTTTCATCGACTCGAGCATCCGCGAATAAAACCGGACGCGAGCTACGAGCACGCGTGCCACGGCATGATGATTTGTCTTCGCGAATAAATCGCAGTACAAATCTCTTGATCGCATTAGTTACGCGAGATCAGCTCTTCCGCTGTTGTACAGCTTGATTTTCCGTTGTGTTAAAATGTCGCAAAATTACCCTTTTATTACTGGCTGAATATTGAAACACGATACCAAAGAATATACTTCGTTTCATGTAATACCTACCATGTTTATTTTATAGAGTGTATAAATTATTTAAATATATTTCGCGGTTTTCGTGTTATTTACTGGTTTATTATTCCTTGGTTCTTAGAATTTGAATTTAACTCAAGCTAAAATTGACGTTGATTAAATGTATAAACGATTGCTGTTGGAGATAATTTTTACTCGGAAGATATTCGTAATTTTTAATTACAATGACCGAATAAAGGAGGTCTTCAATTTAATTATTCGCTAGTAATAACAGTTCACGGTGCTGTAATTATGACGCACTTTTATATTAATTTGTTCATGGATATCGTAAATCTTTCAGCAATTAAACATTTTTTTAAATGATACGTATAATTTATCACATTCCTCAGAGCAAGTAATACAAATCTTCCCAGTACTAAACAGTACTTAGTATGTTACCAATGATTTTACTTAAATCCTCGGAGACTGTTCACGAGAAATAGTAGATAGTGTAAAATAATGTAGAATATTTAATTCTCCAAGTGTCGGATATTAACAAATAGATATTAAAAATAGAAATAATAATGCAAAGTTTAGATTCGAAATTATATATCCGGTCTCGTGCAGTTCGAGGCATCTCCTCACACTGACGCGATAATTTCTTAGTGTTTCGTGCAAACTATCCTAAACTAAACTGTTCGTAGTAGTACGTGGGAGAGACGTATTATTTCATCACGGAAGGATACATAGATTTCCCATAAGCGACGTACGAGTAGTGGGGCCAGGGCTAAGGTCATTAATTCTTATATCGCTTCGTAATTTGTAAGTGTCACCAAAGCCAACGGTAACTTATTCCAAAACTATCAGGGAGTTGAATCGAGTAAAAA